CCTGCAGACTGCTCGCCCCTCCCCATGTCAGTGTATAGAGGACACTTGGGCTGTCGACATTTTTCTAAAGCCAATGAGTGGCTGCAAAAGTCTAGCAAGAAGCCCAAATGACTAAAGTGAGCTGTGACCCTGTAGAGTTGTCTCCTGGGGTGATTTTTTTTTGTTGGTGCAGTGGGGGGTGGGGGGGTGTTGAGGCACTGCTATTAAAGATATGTCAGTTACAAAGTTACATAAAATTTCTGTTCTATAGAGCACCTTGCTTAATAATGAGACAAAGCATAAAGCAACCAACAACCAGGCTGTGGTGAATAGGAGCTTTATCTAGCTAGACAAAGGGACCCTTCGGCTGCTTCTGTGTGTTTGTGATGTCTCCCAACCAAGGCAGAGGTGTCTTGGTGAGAAACACGCACATCTCTCACAAAATAGTTGAAGTCAAATATTCTCTTGGTTCTCTTCACCTCCTTTAGCCTTAGGGTGAAAAAGGTAGATACACTTCCCATAGTTTGGTGCTTGCTGCTAGTTTAGACTTCATAGGTTACAAAGTGTTCTGTGTTTTTGCTTAGAACCTCCCCCTCCATCTTTTAGGAGTCCCAGATCCCTCCCTGGAGAAACTTTAAGATGTTTGCAAGCTTCTGGAAACCTGGCCTTGAAACTGACAGTCAGTTCTGTGATGTCAGTAGAGGTCAGTATTCCTGAGAATTGTCCTTGGGGGGAGCCTTAACAGACCAGTAGACCAGAACCCACAACCCGCTGGGTCTTTCTCTTGTTTTTTGGGTGCTTCCAGGAATAGTGGGCCGTGGAAGTTGAACAAAGGCAGAGGAGGGGTTTTGTTTTTAATGAGAGATGAGTGTTTTTCTCCTGGTATTGGGGTGGGGTAAGGCAGCACAGGTTGCTTAGTGTTGTTTTGCAACACTGGTAAATGTAACTTTTTGTTGTAAAATACACACATACATATATTTTAATATATATTTTTTGAAATAGAGTCTTGCTGTGTGGTTCTGGGTGGCCTGCAAATATGTGACATAAACGTTTTCTTGATGCATTTAGGTGACATGCATGAGTTGTCCATCTTCCAACAATATGTCAGGTTGCTGTTAATAAAATCTTTTCTTATCCAGGCGTGGTGGCACATGTCTATAATCCCAGTACTCCAGAGACTGAAGCCGGAAGCTCGCTGTGAGTTTGAGGTCATCCTGGGCTACATAGTACCTGTCTCAAAAAAATCTTTTCTTTCTCCTGTCACACACTCACTCAGGCAGCAGTGGAACCAGAACTTCGGCGGTTATACCCAGAGAAACCCTCCTGCCACTCGTCCCCACCTTTAGCTCCCGTGGTGTGACACGCAAGGCCCACGCACAGGGCCTGCACGCCCCCTGCTGCCCTGACGCTCACCCTCTCTCCGCCAGCAGCCTCGCTGGCTCCATGATGCCCTGTTCTTATTCTGGCTCTCACACCCTCGCCACACACAAGTCTGCTGCTGTCCCAAAGCACCCTTTTGGAATCTCCCATGATCCCTGCGTGATCAGGGGCCAGGACTGAAGCTCAGCATGCAGCCGGTGTGAGGACGCTGGGGAACTGCCAACAGCCCAGGGTCGGAGGAATGCAGCAGGGCGCAGGGAGGAGGTGCAACTTCGGGTGCGGCGAGCCCAGCCCTCCACTTCAAATGGCAAGACTGCAAGAGGAGACATCTCTGGTGGCAGAAGGGGCCTAGCTCAGAGGTGACATTCTGGCATTTTGAGTTTTGAGGTCCAGAGAGGAGTAGGCAAAGATGGCCCAGGGTGTTGGCAGGAGACAGGAGCTGGAACACAGACCCAGGAAAATAGAATCCAGGCCTTTGGTTGCCCACCCACAACCCCAGGCCCAAGCCTGGCACAGAAAGTCCTGCCAGGGGCCACGGTGACGGGGGCAGGGCCTGGAATTCGTGATGCTGAGGCACAAGGTAGGAGGAACGGAAGTGTCTCACTCTCTCTTTCCCTTTCCAAATAGTCACTGAGCACCTGCCACATCCTGGCCTGTACCTGGAGCTGTGGACACAGAGGTGACCAAGGAGGGCTCCCAGCGCAGCCTGGTGAGGGTCCCAGGAGGCCCAGCTTGGCTGGAGGAATCTGCTCTCTAGGGCTGCCCCAGCGTACCCAGGACATACAGCGATAGAGACGGCTCTTTAGGTGGCTGAAATCTTCTCCAAGGACTGAGCCAGCTGGGCCTCTCCACAGCACCTGGCTGGCCATGCGTTAGGTCGCTCCTCCACTCCACATCCAGCTGTGGGCATTGCTGTGGCTGGCGAGGCCCTTGTGTCACTTGTTTGTTGTTTTTCCCCCACACTCAGGTGCAGTCCATCCACTGCTATTTCCCAAAACCCTGCCATCAGAAAGGTTCCTGCCGTCAGAGGTGGGCCAGGCAGAGGATAGAGGCCAGGGGCCCTCATGAGGAAATGGGCAGAGAGGCGAGGGTGGTCTCTTGCCCTGACTTCCCTAGGGCCCTGCCAGGAAGGAAGACTCTGCTGTCTTGCTGTGGATGCTGGGGACAGCAGAAGAGCTATGTTCCCCCTGTCCTGGAAGCAGCCTGAACTGTGGGTGTCCCACCTGCTCATCTGTACCTATGACTGAGCCAGAGGGAGGGGAGGATGGAGCAGGGTCTCCTGGGGGTAGGCTGGATGCAGCACCCTGTCCCCAGCAGTCCAGCTTCTTGGGAGAAGCCTGGGACATATTCAGTGCCAGAGTAGGTAGATGATGTAGAACAGGGACTGATCACTGGAAGAGACAGCCCTCTGTGCCCAGGGTAGCCAGAGGCACCCAGGGCCATGCCAGGACGATATGGTTGGCAAAGGAAAGCAGGCCTTCTTGGGCTGCAGCTCAAAAACCCCCTGATGAAGCCCGCCCTGCCTCAGCCTCCACCCAGGCCTCGCCAGCTAGTGTGGTGCAGACCAGGATGAGGTGGGGGGTCAGCCGATCCCTCCCCGATTGTCTTCGCTGAGGGAAGAGCTGTCTGTCTGGAGTCCATTGTCCAGCCCTGCTGGGCCACTCCGGTACTGAAGGAAAAAACGGGCCTCTCTCTGGCAGCTTGAGGCTTTTCACTTCCCAAGAGTAGCTGGGCACTCCTGCACCTGAAGTGGCTCAGCTTTCTTGGGAACCAAGGGCCACTGGGGTCAAGTTGCAGCTTAGGTAACAGTGCCAGCTCTTCCCCTTTCCCAGGCCTGCCAGAACAAGCCCGAGCGAGGTCAGAAGGGAACGAAGCAGAGATGGGTTTCATTCTCCCTGAGGTGGCCCCGAAGGTTTTGCTCAATCCATAGCTGTGCTCTGGGAGGCAGCGACTCTGTCCCCACCTTTTTTCTTTTTTTCCTCTTTTGCAGTACAGGGGATTAAAACCAGGGGCTTTGGCTCCATCCCCAATGCTTTTTAAAAATTATTATTTTGAGACAAGGTCTCAAGAGGTCATTAAGTTGCCCGGGCTGGACTTGAATTTGTGATCTTCCTCACAGGATTACAGGTGTATACCACCATACCCAGTTTAGAACCCACTTTACAGATGAACACAGAGATGCAGAGAAGAAAGGGACTTGATGGGTAAACGGGGATTCTCGGAGAAGACCCAGCTCTGCAGCCCACTGGTCCTTAGGACATGTATACACACAGGCACACATTACACACATATACATACACGGGTGTACAGATACCTGCCTTCCTATCTACCACCCAGCTGCCACACAGAAAAGGGGCTTGGAGAAGCTGGAAGTCAAAATGCCCCTGCCGAAGCTGGCTTTCCTGACCTGGGTCTTCTCAGAGGTCTGTGTGTGTGCATGCGCATGTGTGTGTGCTGGTGTGTGCATGTGTGCATACGCACATGTATATAAGTATGTATGCACATTGTGCTGTTTGCTACTGTGTGTGTTCATACGTGTCTGTACATACATGAATCTGTGTGTCTGCACTGTGTGTGTGTGTGTAGAGAAAACTGGATTCGGCAGAAGAAAGTCCTGGAGAAAGATCCTCAGAGGTCCAGGGAAGCGTCCAGGACAGGACAGGAGAGTCAGAAGGGAAGCCAGGGAGAGAGAGAGAGAGACAGAATATCTGTCTCTGCATGTACATGTGCAGACCAGCCCTGGAATTTTTAGCCTAAAGGGCCCCAGGTTGGCCACAGGGGTTTTGTGGGCCCTTCTCAGTGACAGTATGCCAGAATGCCCATCCCCAGGCCCTGGGACATTTGTTGGCAGAGGAAGTGCCCAGAGCATAGAGGCCCCCAGGGGGTGTCAGGTGGAGAAGAGGATCAGGCAGCTTCTGGGATTAGGGAGTGGGAGCTGGCAACACCACATACTTTAGTGTGAACTCAAGAACTCTGGTTTTCAGCTTGGGTTATGAGCTTGTCATGAAAGTTTGAGTGATCCATTTAACAATTCGTTCCAATGGGCAGCATCATTTACAAGTTTTAAATGGCCAAGGATGTGAAGTATTCCATTTGAACTCTTGCCCCAGGCACTGCTATGGTCAAACATTAGCCAGTTTCTCTGTGTGCACACCTGTGTGACTTCTGCTGGGATGAGGAGGCAGCCCTAGGATGGCTATGCAGTGAGAGAGGTATATTAACCAGTTTTTGTTACTGTAACAAAATACTTGATGCAGGATGCTACATAGAGAAGAAAGGTTTATTTAACTCACCGTTTTGGAAGCTAAAAGTCCAAAGGGCGGGAGGGTTGGTGTGTGGCCCCTAGGCTATTCACATCATGGTGAGAGTGAGTGTGTATTCTGTCTGTATGACCTCTCTGCCTTTCTTATGAAATCACTGAAATTTAATCATGGGGCTTTCACGCTATGGACCTCATCTAATCTAATCACTAAAGGCTCCACCTCTAAATACCATTGCCAAATCGAGTTTCCACCCTCTTAACACCATTAGTGTAAGTCTTTGGAGATCAAAGTCCTGCATGAGTATGGAGGAACAAAACAAATTCGAACAATAGTATTTCTGTTCTGCATGTGAAGAATCCAAGACTTGGAGGTGGCTGAATTTATTTGAGGTAGGTGAGAGCTATGGAGTCTGGCTGGCTCTGGAAGTCCCTGCTCCTGACACAGGGAATGTGTCTCCAAGAATGGCAAGAGCCACGTGTGATGCTGCATGCCTGTAATCTCAGCTCTCTGTGAGGCTGAGGCAGGAGCATTACAAGTGTGAGCCCAGACTGGCCAATTTAGTGACTTAGTGACCCTGACTCAAAATAAAGAATTAAAAAAGGGCTAGGGATATAGCTCAGTGCAAAGTCCATGGATGGCCAGGAGGTGGGGAGGGCAGTGCATAGGAAGCCAAGGCATCGATACTCTGCTCTTTGGGTAGGGGGAGGCCTCAGCCAGCACAGAGGCTCCTCCAGGGTCAGTGAGCCTAACAGGAGAACTCCTGGGTGCGGATTTCACAGGCCACACCCCTAACCCTAACACCGCTCCCAGGTCTGTTAAGGGCCACCGTGGGTCACAAGCCCTGGAAAGCCAGAACAGTTCTCAGCATAGGACCTGCCCCCGGGCCTGCTTCACCAGGGGAACGCACACGCCAGTTACCCAGGTGGGTGCCTACACAGCCCAGGGTCAGGGCAGGAGGGAGGGCAGGGGCTGCGGGCTGAGCCCAGGAGGAGGCAGTCCTGGGGCCCCTCCGCCCTGCCCGGTCCAAGGAAACGGGGCTTTGGGATGGAGGGAGAAGCTGCTGCCCGGATCAGCAGTTCAGCTGGAACTGAGAGCCAAGTGCGGCTGGGGACAGAGGGGCTGGTGGCACATCCAAGGCTTGGTGAGGAGGCTGAGTGGCTGGCGGGTATCTGGGTATCTGCCGAGCAGTCCTTCCTGTCACATTCCTGGGGGTGGGGAGGGGCGGAGCTGGTGGGGCTTCTGATTCTACCTGAATCCAGGCTTAGGTGGGGAACTGCAAAGTCCCGGCAAGGATGCTGGGTAACCCCGGGCAGATGCTTCAACCGCTCAGTGTCGTTTTCTCACCTTAGAACGAGGAGTTTGATGCGTTTGATGCAATGATCTGTTTCTTCTTTGCTGATGATTTCCAGGTTAAATTTGTGATGTGTAGACTGGGCCTCAGGCCACACACCTGTGGTCCCAGTACTGGGGAGGATTGCTGCAAGTTCCAGGCCAGCCTGGGCTTCACAGCAAGACTCTGTGTCAAAAAAAAAAGAAAACCAAGCAAACGAGTTCAGAGTGTATTTGCCGGGGTGTGATGGTGCATGCTTGTACTCAGGAGGCTGAGTTGGGGGCTTGCTGGGAGTTTGAAAGTAACCTGGGCTACATAGTGAGTTCAAGTCCAGCTAGGACTACATCTTGAGACCCTGTCACAAAAACAAAAGAAAGAAGGAAAGAAAAGAAAACATTTTTTGGGAGGGGGATTCTAGAAGTGGGTGCCCTGCCTCCTACCCCCGTTACTACCTTCCTCCTGCCCCGCAGCCATTTCCAGTTTCTAGCTATGAGGCCTCAAGCCAAGGGCAGGAGACTTAGGGCAGTTTTCCCTAAGAGCCACAGACCTTCATGAACACGTTCTGTCTTCCCTGGAGGCAGTCGGTGGGCATTTAGCAGCCCAAGGGAGGGGCGTGGGGTGAGCTGGTATGGGGGCCTGCACTTGTGCCCCAGTTTCAGAGGACCTGGTGTGTGGGGAAGCTGTTGGGGGAGTTTCAGGGAACAGAGCCAAAGCTAGAGAAAACCACTCCTGTTCCCCAGTCTGCTCATCCAGGGCCACATACGTGTGTGAGTTAGGTTTTTAAAATGATATGGTGAATGGGGATCAGACTCACAACCTTGCACTTGCCAGCAAGCACTTACACCACTGAGCTAAATCCCTGGCCCATGCTTAAAGGTGTGGTGGGACTAGCCTGTTATCCCAGGACCCCATAGGCTGAGATAGGACTGCTCCAAGTTTGAGGCCAGCCCTGGCTACATAACAAATTCAAGGCCAGCTTCAACTACATAGTGAGAACTTGTTTTTTAAGAAAATTTTTTTAAACTTATGGCAGTAAAAGATATATTGCCACAAATCCCCCTCAAACGACTCCCTTTTACTTCAAACATACTTATCTAGGTTTGCTATGCAGACATTTTGGGAGAAAAAAAAAAGAAGGGAAAAAAATCGAGCTTATATCTTTATAATTCTGAGTCTGGCCCAGATGAAGGTTCACAGAACAAAGGCCTTGATCAAGGGCCTAACCCAGTTTTTATTAATTTATGAAGAAGGGAGTGGCTAGAGGATGAGTGATTGTGAGATTGGCGGGAATTACCTGAGCACTGTGAGCTGGGCTAGCGGTAGGAGGCCTGAAATCACCTCTGCAATGTGTGGAGAGAGGGATATGCAGAAAGACCAAACTGCGTAACACAACTGGGCAGCATCTACTGTGTAGAAGGCTGGTGCTTCAGTTCTGACACGCAGAGCTTTTCTGCCTCATCTCGAGGTTCAACCGAGTTGATAGCCCTGGACTGTTGACTTTGCATCTCGCTGGGCTCAATCATTTAGGGAGACAATGAGGTGGGCAAACAGTGACTGTTGCCTGGCCTCAAAAATTATGCAACAGTACCTCAGCTGACCCTGTTGACATTGAGCCAATTGAAGGGAAAAGGAACTGGCTTAACTAGCTCTGTACACATGGAGATAGGGCCAGGTTTTTGTACTCAAGGAGAGCCATCCAGGTGATCACTACAATATGTATTACCTTTAACCAAGGAAAAAGCTTTTAAATTATTGTAGATAAATAACAATAATCAATGCATCTATAAAACCAATTTTTGAAAAAGGAAACTTTTGATATTATTTCAATCAGCTAATGACCTGGATAGAAATATGTTACCAGCCTTAAAGACATCTTTATTGTTACCTTGATAACTCTGTTAACCCTGTGAGCAAAATTATTTGGTTCATCCTGTGAATGCCTATAGTTGTATATACCAACTACAATAGAACATATACCTGAAAATTGACACACAGAAACATACACAGCGATCCAATCATATAGAACCTTTATGCTGTCAAACTATGGCCTTTATTTGTAAGCTACTCTGAGCAACTTTCCTGCTTGTTAACACTATAGAATTAGGACCAATAAGAGTCAGAATGGTGAGAAAAGAGCTTTGAAATTTTGTCTTTTTACTCTTAAGTTCACCTTTAGGAAACAAAACAAAACAAAAAAAACCCAGCCCTTTAAAATCTCTTCTGTTGGGGCTGGGGATTTAGCTCACTGGCATAAGCACCTTCCTTGCAAGCAGGCGGTCGTGAGTTCAATCCCCGGTACCGGTAAAAAAAAGAAAAAAAAAAAAAGTAAAAATCTCTTCTGTTGATGGATGTGGTGGTACACACCTGTAATCCCAGCACATGGGAGGCTGAAGCAGGAAGGTTGCCATTAGTTCGAGGCCAGCCTAGATTAGGTTACACAATGAGTTTGGGGTCAGCTTGAACCTCATAGCAAGACCCTGTCTCAAAAACAAACAAACAAAAAAACTTTAATCTGAAATTGGTCCCAAGTTCATAAAATATAACTTAAAGGACCTTTGAGTTTCCCATAATCATATAAGATTTATTACATGCCTTTAAGATCTCATTTGTATACTTTTGGAAAGAGATAAAGAAAATTTAAACAAGAGAAAAGACAAGATGAGGACCAGAGGCCCGTTTCGAGTGCTCCCCAAACTGGGCTCATGCTGCATGTGCAGCCTGTCCCCTTTCCCAGAGACAGAACTACCCCCCAAAGGAGCAGCCCTCTGGTCACCACAGAGGCAGAACTGCCTAGGGCACCGTCTTTGCTCTGTTTTCTGTCCTGTCCAGAACAAGCATCTTTGTTCCTGGAACATGCTATTTCAACAGATCAGGGAAGCAAGAAAAGAAGTGCGCTTTGGCCGGGTTTTACTTAAACATCTGCCCCAAAGATTTTTATTCCTGTAACATATGAAGAACTCGTAGAGGGTCTTGAAAGTCTGGAGATTTTACTTAGCTACAGATCATCTATTAAGAAAAGCTGAGACCTTGTGCGCCCGCCCACCCAGGAACTAACACCAGAAAAAAAATTAAAGGACTTGAGTTTTCTGACAGATGAAAGAGGGGAAAAAAGCAAACCTTGCAATAGCACAATAGTGTCTGCAGTCACCTATTTGACCACTGTATTCATAGATGAAGGAGGACCATTTGTAAGTAGAAAGGGAAGGTAGGTGAAAAGGAGTCGCTCAGGTATGCTGTGTTTCGGGAGGTGAAAAGAGAAGAAAAATGAATTTGCACAAGAACTGGACCTGAGTGCCGGCGTGGTGGCTCATGTCTGTAATCCCAGCACTCGGGAGGCTGAGGCAGGAGGATCATTGCGAGTTTGAGACCAGCCTGGGCTACAAAGTGAGCACAAGGCCAGCCTGAACTGCATAGGGAGACCTTGTCTCAAAAGAAACAAAACAAAACAAAAACCAAACTGGGCTTGTGTCCTGAAACTACAGTTTTCTTTCTTTCTTTCTTTCTTTTTTTTTTTTGTATCAGGAATTGAACTCACGACCCCATGCTTGCCAGGTGGGTACTGTACCACTGAGCTATATCCCCAGCTCCAGTTTTTTCCTTAAAAGTACAACTTTTAAAAATCTTGATTTCCTTGTCTCCTTTCTACTTAGCTTTATTTCTTCTATTCTACCTCAGACTGATTAAAAATGTTTCCCTTTCATTTGACTTAGGAGAAGAAAGAGGCAGAATTTGCATGGCACTAGATCCAGTGAATAAGGTGAGCAAACAGTCATACTGTTAGGAACCCGCCTGTCTGTTGTCGGACACCTGGGTAGCAGCATACAGCATCTTTTTGATCACACTCCTAAAGACACTCACAGAAGAGGCCTTCTAGAGCTGCTTCAGAAAGTGGCAGTGTGATAGGAGGTTAGGGTGTGGCTAAAACCGGCTGGGAAAAGAGATGTGGCCAGATCCTGGAACACGGGCACAAAACACTTCCCAGAGGCCTGCACCTGGACTTCTGAGAACTCAAGCAGCTTTTCCATAGGATGGCCTAGCCCTGGCGTCGGCCTCAGGCCCGGGCCATAAAAGCACGGCCCACCTTGAATTTTGGCCACTATGTCTCCCTTGCATGGTGGCTGCCCTCACAATGTGCTTCTTTCCCTGCTTTGAGTTGGTCCAAACTCACTCTGCAGAGCCTGTTTCCTTTTCTACCCTTGGTAAAACCTTGCTACCATTTTGTGTCTCTTGAGCCATTCTTTGCTTAGGACAGAAGGAACCTAAAAACCACCTCCAGAAGGAGGCTCCAGCACCCCAAAATCCAGGAACAGCAAGAATGATGGAGTGAGTATGTTCCAAGTGAGAGGGACTATTTTGAGGGGGATTTCTAGTAATGTGTCTTTTACTGTAATAAATTTTTTGAAAATTTAAACAGTCACCATATATTTTGACCACAGATCAAATGCATGACATTCTTAGCCCCTGGCCTCTTCAATGGGGCTCCCTCAGCTTGATGAAGTTCAGAAACCATTGTTCTGGGTGGCCCAGAAAGGGTGGGGAAATCAAGTCTCCTTTGGAGCCAGCCTACACAGAGGGCTGAGGGACACTTGTCCAGCCTGGGTGTCCCAGTTGTAGGACTCTCCGAGCTGTAGACCTCAAGGCGCCCAGTTCAGGCTGGGAGGTGGCATACTCTCCAACCTAAAAGGAGGAAGAAGGAAGACCTTGACAAAGAGACAGACTCTTTAATTAAATGAGGGTGTGATGGCCAGTGGCAGCGGCCCAGGATTGAGATTATAGTGCTCTTCCTCCTAAGTAGTACGCTAGTGCTAATCCCTCTTGAAAAACCTCTTGGCAAATGTTCTGGGCAATGGGACCAGGGTTGGGTTTTTTGTTTTCTTTCCTGAACTACAGAGTTAGTGTTTACTCTTGGCAAACTTGAGAGAACCAAACAATGAAAATAATCCTGTAATTGTCCCTGCAGATCCACAGGAAGGGCTGGATCAGGTTCCTTTCCTGTGGATCACTCATCCCCTCACCCCAGAAGTGTAGAGCTTCTGTTAGGGAAAAAGGAGGGGAAAAAAAACTGAGATAGGAGCTCAACAGGACAGGTTTGTTCTGTAATAACAGAACAAGGACCTCTGTGGCACTGTAGACCAGCCCAGCTGCTCTCCTATGGGCTATGTAGGGTCATGGGGAGAGGGGAGTTCAGTGAGAAGGGGTGGTGACCCCCTGCCAAGAACAAGGTTGAGAGAGCACAAGTGGTCAGCACTGCCCAAGGATGGGGCTTGGGAAAGCGCAGGGAGTAGAGGCTGTACTATCAGAGGCAGGGCTGATAGTGCGCTGAGTCCCCAGGTGCAGCTGTGGGGGAGGGCGAGGTTTAGAGGGGTCTGATCAGGATGGGGGTGGTTGGATTCATTCAGTTTCTTGTAGGCCTTGAGAGCTGTCTCTGCAGATGAAAAGTCTCACTGAGCCCAGATGTCAGCAAAGTCCTTCCCCCAGCAAGGCACCCACCCGAAGGCCGCTCGGGAAGTCTCCTGAAAAATACTTGTGTAAACCAAAACTAGATAGCTGGCCAGGTCCTTTTGTTGCCTTTTGATAGCAAACCAGCCCTCAGCCTAGCTAGGTTCCCTGTCTCCCACTCAGCTTTTGTGTCCTTATCTCTCTCTCTTGCTTTAGTCAGTGTGCTTTCCTGTCACTCACAGACTCCAAGAATTCATCTTTAGAATCAGAGGAAAAATCAAAGAGAATCAGAGAAAATAAAAATATCTTGATAGATCTTTTCTCCGTTGTTGAGTTCGTTCCATCCTTCAACCAGCTGGTGAGACGTGTGTAGAGTTATCCCATTTCACAGATGAGGAACTGAGGTCCACAAGAGGGGAACGATTTGCTGAGGGAAGACGGGTTTTCATGAAGCAGAAGTCACTGAAGTTCCAGGATCATTGTTTGCTGAAAGCCATAATGTGCACTCAGTCCTCTACAGCCCTGGGGTTCTGCATGTGTAGATTCAACCAACTGCAAGTTGAAAATGTTTGGAAAAAAATTCACCTGTACTGAACACGTACAGATCTTTGCTTTTGTTGTTCATTATTCCCTAAGTAGCACAGCACAATGACTATGTACCATTTTCATTGAATTCATTTTTGTTTTTTGAGGCAGGGTCTTTCTTATTACATAGCCCCAGCTGGCCTCAAACCCACAGTGATTCTCGGCCTCAGCCTCCTGAGTGCTGGGATTATAGGTGTGCACCACCATTCCTGACTGAACTAGGTATTATAAGTCATCTAGCATGATTTAAAGGATACAGGGGGACATGTGGAGGTTCTATGAGAATACTATACCAGTTGACATAAGTGATTTGAGCGTTGTTGGATTTTGGTACCCATAGGGCATCCTGAGTGTAATCCTCCAGAAAGGCATGAGGGTCTAACTTTTCTGTTGTTATAAACCATCTACCTGTGACATACATACATATATATTTCTGGGGATCAAACTTACAACCTCCTGCTTGCCAGGCAGGCGCTTATGCCACTGAGCTAAATCCCCAGCCCAACCTGTGACTAACCCTTCTAGAGTCCCTTAGGGAGTGAGAGACCCTCTGCTTCCTCCTCTCTTTCCTCTGCCCCGCTTCCATCCTGGCTGGTTGTTCGTGAGCCCGTATATTCCATCTGCAGAGGTGGGTGGGAGATTCAGGGGAAATGATAGTACAGTTACTCCTGCATCACTTCACACTTTTAAAACAATCCCGTACTCTCTATTCGAGGGGAATAGATGCTCATGTTTTGAAAGGTGTGCATTACCCAGGTGTTGTTCAGCTCACTGAAAGGGAAATTTAAACCACAGATGAAATCAAGACCCCATACAGTCCCCAGTGAGGGGGATTATAGTTCTCAGATTACACAGGAGGAAACTGAGCCTCTGTTCCGCCCTGGTATGCAGGCTACCTGGCAGATTTCACAGTTGGATGGGCTGCCTGAAAAGGTGGTGAGCTCCTTGTTAAAACCAGATGGGGATTTGGGGAAGAGAGAGCTTGGGAACCCTGGAAAAGCATTATGTCAGCTCACACATTTGGAGCAGGTGGCTGTCACTGCAGAAGCTTTTCTGAACTCTACATCCTTCCCTGCTCCATGGTAGGCCCCGGGTTCCCTGTCTGTGTTCTGTGTTCAGAAGGAGCAAGGTGAGCCTGGAAATCTTGTGTCAGCTGCCGATCAACCTGTGGCCTGCTGGAGGTAGAGGTTTAAGATAACACCAGCAGAGCCAGGTATGGAGGTGCACACCTGTAATCCCAGGACTCCTGAGGCTGAGGCAGAAGGTTTGCCGAAAGTTTGAGGTTAGCCTGGGCTGTAGTGAGTTCAGAATCAGGCTGCAGCCGAACTAGGCAGTGAGACTTGTATCCAAAAAAAAAAAAAAGTTACCTCCAGGGGCTTGAGTTTCGTCTGTCAGATAGTCTATAATCTGCAGCCCAGGGTAGAAGGAAGCCTGCTTCTTCCTGTGTAATATTGTAATATGAGAACTGTAATCTCCATCTTTGTGGATCGTGTGGGGGTTTAATTCCTTTGGTGGTTCTCTTAGTCAGCGGTGGGTTTGTAACAAGCTGGCAAGTCCCCACCCCCAGAGTTTCTGAGTTGGCAGATTTGGGAAAGGGCTTGAAATTTGGACTTTTTTGTATTGAGACAGGGTCTCGATGTATAGTTCAGGCTGGTTTTATACAGGTCTATTTTTTTTTCTTGGTATTAAGAATTGTACTCAGGGCCTCGTGCTTGGCAGTCAAACACTGTACAGCTGCTGGGCTATAGCCCTTAAACTCAAAGTGATCCTCTTGCCTCAGCCTTCCAAGTGCTGGGATTACAGGCAGTGGCACCATGCTCAGCTTGAAATTTGGCATTTTTAATTAGCAGGTGATGCAGATGTTCTTGGCCCAAGGACCACAATATGAGAACCACCGGACAGGACTGGTACATGCTCAAATGTGTCTGCCTGAAGATATCAAGCCAAGAACCACCTCCTATTGATTTCCACTTCTGCTAAGTGACTGCTCAAGAAGCCCCTAACAGGGGCTTAGTGACATCAGAACAATTTAGTTCCTGGGAAGCAGGAGGCTTCTCTGCAGAACCCCTTTGGTTAGTTGGCCTGGTTGCCATGCAACAGCCAGCTGGCAGCCAGGAGATTGTGGGAACAGAATCATGGGGCTCTTTGCTGCATTGGGAAAAGAGGGCAAAGGTCCTGGATTAATGGCACGTGGATAAAAACGTGGAGAGAGAGACAGAGGGAGGGAGGACAGAGGGTGTGGTTTTCAAGGTCCCTCCTCACTGGGAGGAGCTCTGGATTTCTACAGAAGCTTGCCCAGCCTCCAGCTGCAAACCCAAGCAGAGTTTAAATTTTGGTTCCATAACAGAGTGAGGAACAAAGGGAAGGGATGTGTGTATGGGAGGACGGAGATAGGACGGGGAGAAGGGGGAGGGAAAAGAGGAATCCTGGCCCTGAAAGCCACTGCACACAGAGGCCATTCCACGCTTTAATCCATGGAGTCCTCATCCAAAGCAGCCAGGATCCCTGAGGCCACGCAGTTGGCTGCACTCAGCCTTGACCTAACCGAGACTGGAAAGCTGCTCAGCTGTTGCTAAAGAGCCCATTTATTCTTTCATCTCAGCCTCTTTGAAACTGTTGAACTTTGGACACCAGTAAAAGAGGACTTCAGTTTGGAGGGTGGTAGGGAGGTGGGGACAAAGGTTTGGAGAAAGTTATTTCAACACTTTAGGAATCCAGCGGGTCATCACCTGGGCTTTGCAGGTGACAACTGTCCCCTCCTCTTTGCTCCCTCTCTACCACTCACCCCATCCCCGTGCACACCAACCCCAGGCCACCTCTTACCCTATCTTCTGACCTCAGAGGGCACTGCTCAAACTTGGCAGTGACTAACAGCGAAGTTTATTTTTAAAATTTATTTGTTTATTGTCTTTTTCCTTTCTATCGGTACCAGGGATCGAACTCACAACTGCCTGCTTGCAAGGCAGGCGCTTATGTCGCTGAGTTAAATTCCCAGCCCCTAACAGTGAAGTTTATTTAAAACTTCCATTTCTGCCTTGCTTCCAGAGACTCTGATCTAGTGGCTGGTGTAGGCGTGGCCCAAGGATTAGCAGTGGTTATTTTGAGGTATTTTGCTACATAGTTAAGCCAAGCCTTAAACTCACTGTGTAGCCCAGGCTAACCTGGAACTCAGGGCAATCCTCTTGCCTCAGCCTCCCAAGTGCTGGGATTACAGGTGTGTGCTACCATACATAGATAGGATTGGCAGTTTTAACAAGTCCCATGATAAGCCTGCTGCAGGTGGCCTGCTGAACAATCTTGAGCATATTCACAGCCTCTACTCTCTGCCCTGTACTTCCTCTGGTCACCCCCAACTTTCAGTGATTCCTAGTTTTGGTCGCTCAGTGGCCAATGTCCCCTTGTCCTCGCTTTCTCAGGTGTGCCCTGGGAACCTCCACAGCACTGTCTGCAGACGGCATCTCTCCAGCTGCACAGCTCGCCCAGCAGCTGGTAGGGCCACACTCTGCTTTAGTAAGGTCTGTCGCCAGTGCCTTCGCTCTGTTTTATATGGTCATGGTTTGTGACCTGCCCACGGCCCGAGATTGTTGGTTTCGAGCAGGACCAAGTAAGCTGCCGCCACATCCGCAGAGAGCTATGATGTCTGGGGTCCTTTGCAGAGAGACTGCAGCAGAAAGGCTACCCACTTGTGAAGAAAGAAGAGGCTTCAAGCTACACTAGACGGATGGGGCTCTTGCATTTATCTGCCTCGGCTTCCTCGTCTGTAAAAGGGAGAGACCAAGAATATTTCAAAATACTTCGGCAAGTTCAAGGTCCTCCTAAGCATGAGGTCAGGCCTCAGGTGGAGCCAGAGATTGGAGGTGGGTGTCTGATTCCTCTTTCCTCTTTGACAACAAAACTCACATAGGCAGCTGTCCTGCTGTCCCCTGGTTATCAACACGAGCATCAGAACTCCAGGCACAAGGCATAGGGACAGGATGTGCCCTTACCCCAATTTTGCTGACAAGGAAACTGACTTATCCAGGGAGGCAAATAAAAAGATTCAGCAATGGCCAGGCTTCTGATTGGCTGTTCAAGTAGAATTTGACCCCTGATCTCTGGATAGAAGTGTTCTTGTTTTATTTTGTTTTTTTGCCTCTGAACTTTGGTGACTGTTCTGTACTGACCCTGGCCCTGGGTCTGCCCAGTTCCATGGGTGTTTACAGACTCCAAAGACCTCACCATGTACTTGCTTGGAAACCTCTGAAGCAAAATGGTCGGGATTGTGCTTAATTCAGTGGCATGGAGAGCTAGAAGTGACATCTCAGACACTGTGTCAGATAGCTGGTGTGACATCCACAGAATTTTTTCAAGTGGAGATGGAGCCTGGGGCCTTGCACATGTCAGGCAAGCATTCTACCACTGAACTACACCCTGCATCCCCCTTGTAGGTTTCAAGAAGTGACCACACCCCTCTGACATCTATTATTATGCTACACCTGGAGGATCTGAGGTCCTCTTTTTCTTTATGTGCATGGACAGATCATCCACTCAGGGCCATGGTGGGAATGAGTTCTTGCTCCGGGCAGTGGTTTGCATAGCATGACCTTGGAGATTCCATAAGCCTCTGTTTTCCCAGGAAGGAGGGGAAGGCTGAGTCTGAGGGGAATAGGCAAGTGTCAGGCACCTGTATCAGGGGGTCCCGAGACTCTTGGCAGCAAGCACTCCTGGGTGGGAATGTAGGGAGCTGTACC